GATGTTCTGGTGAAGAAAATCGGAGAACTTTATTCTGGAAGTGCGGCATTAGAGAGTCTCGATCCATGCAGTGAAGGCGAAGGAGCGCATCAATGCACGTTAGACACGAGCGCCATCTGGCAGTTATCTTCGAAAACGAAGGAAAGCATGCGCGCCCGCAGAGAAAGATGCGCGCCTGTGTCAGAGGCGACAAAGGTGCAGAACTCAAAGCGACGGGCAGATACTACCACCATGTCGCCTTAGCAAAGCGTTGGAAACACTTGCCTTTTTGAGCATCGCGTTGCACTGTCAGCGCAGCGTGATAAACGCTACGGTCCTTACAATTACTTATGTGTGCCTTCTCTAGTACAAAGGCACACATACAGAAAGAACATCAAGGTGTTGTTATGGTGCCTTAGATATGCCCAATCATTGCTTTTTAAATGACAATGGCACAAGTATAACGCTGAAACTAGAGAAGTATTGGTGGGCGCTGCAAGTTGGGGTTGGCCGTTTGAGGCATCGCTCGGTGCCGTTTGGGGTATTGTTACCACGAACAAACAGGCAAACTTACAGACAGACAGAAAGACACACAGACCCAAATTTTGTCGTCGAAGGTCCCCAGGAAAGACTATCGTCTTCAAAAATATTTACTCACAGATTGGGCGCTCCCCGACCCGCCCGAGCCAGCTCGCTGGTGCGCGCAGTTCTGGACCTTTCTATGCTTCGGCCGGATGCGCTCCTCTCCGAGCAGACCAGGGCAGTCAAACAGGCTGCGAGTGCGAAGTCCCTTCTTCCAAGGACTTCTCTTAAACTAGGGTCCCTAGAATAAGCACCCGAACACAAACCTGTTGACGGGTCACCGGTACTGCTCTAGCATTAGGCTCCCCGTATTTCCCATCTCTACCACTGCGCGGACGTATTTCTGCATCGGAGGCATGCAAGGACCTGTCATGGCAACTGTTTTCCTCGTTCTCTGCGCGACGCACGCTTGGTCAATTTCGGGAAGTATCGCCATCTGGCCGACGCGCTTTGATGGTTCCCTTGCGATGTGCTGCAATAATTGTATATACGCCGAAGTTGAAGCTCGCTGTTGCGAGTTTCACCGATCAAAATGAGAAGCGTGCCGCCGCAAAGTACTTCAAGGGGACGTACTTCAGCTTGACGACTGGCGTTATCAGTACGCCACAAAAAGCAGAAAAGTGCGCGCTTCTATTGCAAATTTCCAGCCATTGAATTCGCATATAATTGAAGCCTTTTAAATATGTGCCGATGCTTAGTTCTTCCAGTAATTCCGTGTCGTGGGACCCAGTTTCTCCCAGCATTGTCGAAAGCGCTTCAAGAAAATACAATAATTCCCAATCGGATTTCGCGATCATTGATTCCCTCTAGACCATGCGTGACAGGATCTGACTGAGTAAAGTACGCGCCAATTCTCTGAAAATTGACAAGTAAACTTCGTTGTTTGTGCTCCAATTTATTCATTTTTTATAAATGTATATACTGGGTGCATTAAGACTATGGCACATTATTCTGTATGCGCTGACGCAATCCCTGCGTAAATAGCGCACCCCCATCTCGGGGTTCCAAAATCAGAAAAAGAAGTGCGAAAACTATGCGAGTAAATATAGTACATCTTAAAAACCTACCAATGACGCTTCCGTGACGGAAATGACGTCAGTATCAGAATATGCTTAAAGATAGACGACTGTGGCTAGTATAGGACTGCGGTGGGCACGTGCATAACGAAAGCGGAACGGACAGCGCAATTCAGGAACTTAGTAAACACGACAGACTTGCTTCGACGTGAAGACAGCAGCCATACCAGCCGAGAGGGCCAAGATGCGCCTTCGGACCAACCAATGCGCGTCTTAGTTGTCACACCTCCCGTGAGAATGAGGCCAATCGATCCGCAGTATATTGCCGCTGTACTACGACTTGCGGGCATTGCTGACTCCATTCGACAGAGTAGTGCCACGAATTAACAATGTTTCCAGGTACTGTTAGGGAGCCAGAAAAATCAACGGGGCTTATTCGAGTGTTCCCTTTAACCATACTGAACCCCACCATACTGTACATGTTCCCCACCATACGAGTGTTCCCCATCATACTGTACATAAGCCCCACACTTTACAACACCTATCACCAGAGTCGTTGTCACAGTCTCTTCACTCCGGGGGACGCTGATGGTCGGTCATTAGAAAGAGCGGCGATGGGAGGTTTGTGTGTTATAGTTGCGTGGTCCTCTAATTACCAGCGAGGTTAGGGTTCTACGCATACGCACAGACTGGGTGGAGTTGATATGCGTCCAGGTTGACTGCAGCCCAAAAAAGTGGGCCTCGATTGTTCGGCGGAGTGTTGGTCTTCCGGCTTCCGAAACCGAGTGGCTCTATCGGCGGAGGGGTCGCAGCGTATAACGAGCGTTGGAGTTGGCAGATCTCATGACATAGCTGAGCGTTCCTATATAAGTGGTTGGCTGATTGAGCGTGGCCGGCTGGTTGGAGGGCGCACCGGGCGGCCTCTTAAGGCACCTGTCCTTAAGCGGTTCATCCCTGGGAATCGTTACACTCGAGGGGTCATGGTAAAGGGATGGCTGCTGTAGGCTATGTACGACTCCACTTCACAAACAGACATGGAAAGTGTGAGACTAATTCTTTGCCCTTTATTAGAAGAACGTAGAAGACGCATAAGTGTGTCCTATCTGCCCAACCTTGTTTTACTAAAGCGTCCTCTTGATGACAGCCAGATGGTCATGATTTCCGTACACTATACGAACACCAAACCGAACAAAGAAGACATTTTCAAGAAGCCAACGCTCGACATCTTAGAGTGCATCAATCTGACAGCTTTTCTACGCCTACATCAATCTCACACCACAACTTAAGCCTAAACGGCTATTTCAATGACATCGCTGGAGCGTACGTTACGTATACATGCAGCCCAGCTGGCTTATGTTAGTATTCCCTACTTCTCTTGAATGCCCACCATGCAGCTTCGCTTTTTTGCACAGTCTTCGTACCCATAGTGAGTACCTATCTCACTTTTCTTTACGTCGCGGTACCTATGATGTTTTGAATACTACTGAGGTGTTCGCCTCATTGTAAGCGCTTGCACGTAACTTCAAGTCGGCCTCAGTCCTGGAACTTAAATTATATTTTCTCATTTGGCATCCGCCCCCAGGTAAGAGCACAGCGTTTGGTTGCAGAAATACGGGCTTCTGGATGTCATGTGCACTCTTCGGGGAAGCTAGTGAAGCCTCGCGCTCCTGTGTTGCAAGTTAAAATGAGCGTGATTGCCCGTCGTTCCGTCAGTTCCATATATAGCGCTCAACGAACGGTAGGGATACGTCATACCAGAGTCCTTCTCTGGTCATACCAGAGGAGGCGTTGGTCACACACAACTCCACCATTGTTACACGGGACAATATTGTGTCTGTGCTCACGACGCACATCCCGTTGCTTTTAAACCATAAAAGCAGCACACACGTTGTCCAACTTATTCTAATTGGTAAACGTATACTCAAAATGTACGTTGTCGTTGTCACAGGCAGTCAAAATGCATATGTTACTGTGATGCATGTCGACATAAAGTACCGACTAGCAGCTTTCAGAGGTTACAAAGCGTACTAGTTAAACCAGAGAAACGATCTGTTCTACGTAGTGAAAGGAATCATAGAAGCCGCGTATAATTATCAATAAGAAATAGGTTAATTTAGCTGCGTTGACTTTGAGGAGGAATGTATGGCACGTAATAGCACGTAATACACCTTACTATTCCAAAGAAGTGAAAACAAAACAAGGAGCACAGAGAAGAACAAAAACGGTGCACTGTCATTATCCACCAGAAGAAATTTTGAATCGGACATACGGATTTATGCACTGATTGACTTAAATCAATGTCACCCCTAATTGCGAGATCTGTGGAACTGCACAAAGAAAACAGTCTGTAGAGGGTAGCAGAGGCCTCCTACGAATGTTCGCTTATCGAACAAGCTCTCAATCATGACGTATAACTATTTTCTAACGACAGCGGGATCGCATTTGAGGCTATCGCATTTCTGTAGAAACGACTTATAGTAATGTACCAGAGGCGAATGTCTGACAGTATTGGCCGCGACGACTTCCACTAGAGAGGCCAACGCTGCGATCGTTTTGTCGTCACATATAGTGTAGTAGTTGTGGAATACGGCAGCTTTGATTTCGCGACACCGCTTGAATCGCCTCTATGCCTGCACTGGTTCTTAGTCGCCATTTTACGATGCAAATTAGACACGAGAGGACCACCGGGGGCACCGATTGGTAGTTTTCTTGCCCGTATGATCAGGTCTTACCGCTTCTCTATCTAAGCACTGAGATTCAAAACAAAGGGAAGCACGCAAGGTGTCCATAGCAAAAACACGGAAAATGCTGTGTTCTAACAGACAACACTGACCCGGCATCCTATGAGTGACGTCATAATGTAGGTGGCGCCACGGTATGTCCTCGAGCTCAATTCCACAAACAAATTCAACGATAGAAAACCCCCGAAAAGAAAAGGCGAAATGAAAGGGATTCCAGCCTGTGTCCTTTCGTTCAGCCTCCGAGCACCTTGACCACACCACCGCGACGTGTACAGCTAAATTTTGCATCCACTAATGCGCTGCTGCACTCATTATTTACGTGTGCATCTACAAATACGCAACGCGGTGTGAAACACACGTGAAGTCGCCACTTCCGCAGAAAAATTATATAGTTACTTATAAAAGCACAAATTATCATGCGACCCTGTCTCAATTCTTACATTGCGCGTGTCATCCAGGTTCGATGAGTCCACTGAAAGCACAGCTATTGGTTACATAATCGGAAAAACTCTTCATGTGTACTGCCACGAACAACTAAGCTCCTAATACCGCGCAGCATCCAATGCTTCGGCGCTTAACGTGTTGATTCAGCAATCTAGAATTGTAACCAATGTGGACGTGCACACTTGCCCGAGTTACAGCTCTAGTATACTCTACCCTAGTGACCGAGCGGTGAACTCACCGGTTGTGACGACGCACGCCAGCCAGGCTAGCTTCATGACGAAGCTCATCCAACGAGATGGATTGTCTTTCACTTTCACACTTGTTCTCCTTCTTTTCCCCCGCAGGCAACGTCCAAAAACGGAGTCACTTTCAGCGAGGTACGTCGCTCAGTTTACAGGAGACGGAATAATTATCCAAGCAGCGTGGGCGAACGATTCGAAAAAAGCACTGCGACAAAACGTAGGTGGTGATCCACCGCATATCGCCGTTATTGCAACCAGCCAAGCAACGGCAGTCACTTCTGACCACGTTCTGGCGCGGCGTCCCCGCGGGCGCTACTTTTCAAAAAAAGGCCGTGCATCGCGGGAACGAAACCCTTTCACTATATACCCGTAGCAAGGAGGAAGGAAAAGCCGCGGAATCGGAAACAAAAAAGAAATCGCGACAACAGTAAAAAAGCGTTGACCGTCGCGCCGTCAACGCTACAGGAAATTGAGAAAGGAGGTGAAAAGATTAGGAGAGGAGAATTGGAAAGGGGAGGCGCCGCTAGTAGCCGAGATGGAACGAAGAGGCCAGAATCGGCCGTTATTCGTTTGTCGTTCACGTTCTCTCCCCATCGCGGCCATTTCGGTGGCCAGCACGCGGGCGGAAACAAAAGTTAAGTAAAGCAGAAACGACACACGAACAAAGCGTGGCGCGGGGGGAGGGGCACTCCCATGTCGCATGCGGCCTCGATTCTGAAAACGGCGCCCGAAAGAAAGCAAAACAGGAGGCTTGCGAGGGGGCGGGGGTGACGATCGCTGAGTTGATTAATCCTAGGGGAAAAAAAAGGAGAGCGATGAGAGAGAGGGAGAGATTGGCTGAGAGGATGGGTATACGCTCTGTACCACGTGACCTCTCGATTTTGTTTGTACTTGTCCACGTGGCCTAGCGTCCGCGCAGCACGTGCATCCGCCATATTGTTGGTAATAAAAGGCAACAGCGTGGGCGGTGTTTTGTTTATTCTTCTTTTGAACGCCAACCAAAGTACCGATTGTTAGGCCGGGAGAGCGTTTCATCATAGGCGTCTCATTTTCGAAACAAAATTAGGCCACACTCTGCGAGGAATGTGAAGTTGCAATGACCGTTGAGAATTGACGGAGGCCTCCGCAAAAAATGCATTTAATTAAACATTTCCTAGATACGGATGAAAAGAAACACGCAATTGTGCATGTTTGCTTTTCTAAATGGAGGTTTCAAAAAATTGGCAGATCTCACGTACAGTGGGAATCGATGATATGTGCAACACGAATGAGAAATGTTGATATGTCACTTCGAAATCAGCACAACGTTACAAGGTGGAGATAAATGATGCCGTATATGACTTCCGTGTCATGATTATCATGTTTGGAAGTATCGTTTACCTTCGTCATCTAGTCGCATAACGTGATACCAAATTTAGTATAGGTGGAGCTAGCGAAACGGCCGCGAGCACGTTATGAGCGTGGTATGTTGTCATGTTCTTACATGACACGCGTGTCGGGATTATCATGTTTGCACAAGTCATATATTTTGACATTCATTCACGTCACGTAACACCCAATTTGGCATATGTGGAGCTAGCAAGACGGCGGTGAGCGCATCATGAGAGAGAGAGAGAGAGAGACGAGAAAAAAGGAAGGCAAGGAGGTTAACCAGATGCTAGTATCCGGTATGCTACCCTACACTGGGGTTGGGGAATAGTGGGTTGAAAGAGAAAGGGAGAGTTAAAAAAAAATCAGCGCATCATGAAGGGCCCAATAAACTCCAATGTAGCGTTGACGCGCACGCACGCTGGGCATAGCGGCGCTACGTTAGCAAAACGCGAGCACTCTATAGTCTGACGCCAGGCGCAACCAGCGTCCGTCGGCGCGGCCCGACGGCAACCGGCGCGAAATGCGACATTCTGCATTTCGCGCCGATGCATTAGCTAGACAACACTGCATCTCCCTCTTTTCGTGACAGAGGGACGCCAGACGCGCTGAAACGCGCATGCGTCAAAGCAACGCCGTGCGGCGTGCGCCTGCGAGTATATGGCAGGACCAGCGTCTGGCGTGGCAACGCCAGCGTGACGAGTCGAAATGAACACAGGTGAGCGTGCGCACCACGTCACGTAGAAATGTATTGGCGCCTTGACTGTGGCATGTAGTCATGTTCTCACATGACACGCATCTCATGATTATCGTGTTTGCACGAGTCACATACCTCCGTCATCCATTGGCGTCACGTAATACCAAATATTGCATAGGTGAAGCTAGTGAAACGGCCGCGAGTGTATCATCAGTGTGCCATGTAGTCATGTTGTTACATGACACGCATGTCGTGATTATCATGTTTTGATACGTCATTTACCTACGCCATCCGTTCGCGTTACGTAATACAGTGTTTTGTACATTTGAAACTAGCGAAACGCCTGCGAGCGCGTCATGAGCGTAGAATGTAGTCATGTTGTTACATAACACGCATCTCATGCTTATCATGTTTGAACCAGTATCATACATTCGCCATCCATTCACGTCCCGTAATACCAAATTTGGTATAAGTAAAGTTGAGAAACTGCCGCCAGCGAATCATGAGCGTGACATGCAGTCATGTTGTTACATGGCACGCATCTCATGATTATCATGTTTGCACCAGTCACATACCTTCGTCATCCATTCACGTACAGTAATACCAAATTTGATATACGTGACGCTAGCGAAACGGCTGCGAGCGCACCATGAGTGTGGCATGTATACATGTTACATGACACGCATGTCATGATTTTCATGTTGGGGGCTGTCGCTTGTGTTCGCCATCCAATCATGCCATACCGTACCAGTTTTGCACTATGTCTTGTGAACTGAACCACCGCAAGAGATGCAGGACCATGAGATGTAAAACATGACACTCATGACATCCATGTCACGATTTTCATGTTATACTAGTCAAATATATTCTTCATACAGTCATGTTATGTCATACCAAGTTTGGTATCGATACCATCATCGAAACGGCCAGGAGAGCTAAAAGTCGTAGGCAGATAGATAGATAGATAGATAGATAGATAGATAGATAGATAGATAGATAGATAGATAGATAGATAGATAGATAGATAGATAGATAGATAGATAGATAGATAGATAGATAGATAGATAGATAGATAGTCTCAAAGTCGCCGAAGTTCGCTAAGAAATGCTACGCATTTAAAACTTCAGGAGTGGGGCATCTTGCATCGCCTAAGTGGCGAAAATGAAAACAGAGTGCTCCCGCCCCTCACCCGTAAAATAAAAATCAATGAAACGTGCTCTACTGGCGGTGCCCGCTTAGGTATCAAGTGGCATCGATCTGCTAGAGTGAATGTCAGGTTACTTATAAAATAAATGATCGTTGTTTCCGACGAAATGAACTTCTCTAGATGAATATTGATGACTCGGTCTCCGAACAGACACGGTTCATAACCACTGTGCTCTCATCCGTCAATGGCGCTAGAACGCATGTTCACCGGCGCCTGGTCTCTTTAAAGTGCTGTAATTTTCCGACCTATTAGGAGCCGTAGCAGTTGCAAAGGGTCCGGTGCATCGTTAGAGTATGTCTAAGACGGAAATGTTCTGTTGAGTGTTATTGACGTTTGTGGCAATAAATTTTTTCTAAACCGGTGCAATCGTGCAAGTTGGCGAACAGCCCGGGACGGCTGTAAGCTCTCCCATAGTAGAGTACCCTGTGCTCTGAATTGTTACCCCCCTTTTTCTAACCCCCCCCCACCCTCCTCAAACACGTTTGCATTTTCTTTTGTCCCACGGGATGGCCATGAGCTCCTCTATAGTTGAGTACCAAGGACTCTATATCGTTAACCACTTGTTTCAAGGTTTTGCTTCCACTCCTCCCTTCTCGCAATAGTTAGACAGAAGACACCAGATGACGCCACTCATTCATGCTTGAACAAAGCGAGAAAATTGCTTGCGCAAGAATGGTCAGCGTCGCCTCGCGCGTGTCTTGTATGTCGCGCGAGGCGGCGGAAATCGGCCGAAGAAAACCAAGGAGCACAAACGCAGGCGGCGTATTTCACCTACAATCTGCCAAGTGCGACTGTCGTTTCAACGACATGACGAAAGGTGTCCCAGTGACAGCTGGCAGACAGAAGCCGGCGTCGTTTCACTAAAGTGTAAACACACGCGCGTATACGCACGCACAAACACAGTCTCTGACTCACTCACGTCCATGGAATAACGATTGAACATGACATCAACCAGATGCTTTCAAGCGTTTGAGTGCACTGGCATCGCCACTAACCTTCTTTTTGATGTAGCGACCTTGGCACTGGCTTGATGTAGCGTCGCGCGAGTGCACAAGGTGGCCGTCGACCTCGACAACCAGACTACTGGGCACCTGAGCCACGAATGTTCTCAGGTAAAACTGACGAAGACGTGGACGCTTGTGTCACAGAACGAGCGCTCAAAAAGAGCGCGCCGCCAACTCCTCGCGACGAAACGCCGGAGTGACGCCGCGAGGTCAACGATAAAAAAAGAAAAAAGAAAACAAGCTCCTCGGGCACGCTCCCTCTCCCCGCAGAAGCGTGGCTTCGCCGACGAACCTCCTCACCCCCCAACGGCGGCCGAGCAAGCACTCGATTTTTCTAGATGGAAAGGGGCGTGGTTATACCGAGTTGAGTCATCCGCCGTGGAGGGCATTCCAACCGTCTCGCCCTCTCCCCAGCCTTCTCTGCGTATCGCGCCGACGAAATGACGAGAACCTTCTGGAATCTCGCGCGGAAGGTATTTAATCGAGCAGCCGAGACGAGAGAGCAGGAGAAGACGGAAGTTAGCGCCAGAGCGTGTAGGGATTCCGCCGTGTAGTCGGCGAAGGTTTTGTCCGTAGAGACAAAGCGGGAGAAGAAGATGATTTCCACCTGAGGGGTGATGACTCGAGCTTCAGGCAAGAGCGTGTGTCTACCGCTATCGAGCGAAGACGCGCGGCAACAGCTGCGTGTGTGAAGCGACGTGTTTCCGGCGAAGAAGTTTGAAGCTTGGAGAGTGGCCAATTGAAGACGCGAGGTTTCCTGGAAGAGAAACTTCGAGGGCAGCGGAACGACAACAACGCTGGACTTTGAGTGAGTGATTCTCGGAAGAGTATCATCCAGACTTTTGTTCCAGGAACTTTGGACTAAATAGTTTT